CCCGCCTCTGCCTCTGCCGCCCCAGGGAAGGGCTCGGGCAGCCAGGGCAGGGCACCCCTCAAGAGAGGCGCCAGCCAGCGTCTGGGTCTGGCCACCTGCCCCTCCTGCACCGGCAGCGCCTCCTCTCGGCCTGTCGGAGGTGGACCTGGGTGCCTTGTCCTCTCTTTGCCCCCCCCCCCCCAGAGAAAGCAGCGGCCCCCAGATGACCCTCCTGTGGCCCCTCCTGGGAGTCCTTCCATTTTAGTGACCCAGGTACCCTTTGGGCCACTGGGGCTCAAGGAAGGAAGGACCAGGTGAGGGGGACCTGGGCAGCCCTGGCCGCGCGGGCGCTCAGCCACTGGCTGGCCTGCCCCTTCTCCCACCTTGCGGCCTTCCTGCCGCCCAGTGTCGGCAGAGGCCACTGCCTTGGGCGAGGGGCCCCAGATTTACACCACCTCTGGGCAGCGTTCAGCAAAATGGCGCTGGCCTATTTTTGCAATATTTCTGTTTTGCAAAGGGAGGGGCCCAGGAGGCCCGGGGCAAAGCAGTCAGGGAGTTAACAATCTCCTCTTTCTCCCTTTCCCCTTATTTCTCTTCTTTCCCATCGTCCTGACTCCAAGTGGCTTCACGGGGAGGTTGACCTCTCCCCTCGATTGCCCTTCCTGGTGCCTTTTTGGCAACCCTCATTTCTGGGTGTCACACGACCCTCCACCCTTTCAGCCAGTCCCATCCTGTGTAGGGAGAGTAGTTGGAGAGGCTCCAGTACACTGGGCATCCCGAACCCCGAAACCCCGAAACCCCAGCGAACAAGGCCATGTGCGACCCAGAGGCCCATACCGCTGCCGGCACAGGGCCTCCAGGCAGAGAACCAGGGCGTCCGCCCCCACGCCGGTCTCAGAGCGAGGATTGTGCTCGCGGTAGCTGTGGGTTTTAGCGACAGGCAAACAGCTCCACCTGAGCAACTGTGGCACACAAGCAAGCCTGAAGACTTGGGGTGGAAGGATGATTTCTGGGTGCATTTAAGATGTCTAACATAGGCGAGCTCTGCATGTCTGGGCTTCTGCTGCTGGTGGTGAGGGCGGAGGGGCTTGCCCTCTCGCTACCTAGGCAGGCAGCCCCACCCGGGTGCCCAGTAACTCTGGGGTCGCCGGTAGACAGCGCTGGAGAGGAGTGGCCAAGGGGAGGGAACTCAGAGCCAAGGGGAAGAGGGCAGTCAGGGCCGGCCAGAAGGGCCCCGCAGAGCTCAGCCAGCGGCGACTGCCGGGACAACCTCCACTCTGCCGAGCCCCCAGCCAAGAGCCGTTGCTGAGGCTGAACAGATCCTGCCCGAGGGGGAGGGGCCTTCCTGGAGAAGCGTAGACCAGACAGTCTCAGGATCACCTTGGCGTGTTAGGATTTGAGAAGCCTGAAGCATTGAGGTGGTGAGGTATCAGGGAATGGTCCTCAGATTTCTCTCTCCCTGTGGGTGTGTGCACTTAAAGAAGGGGAGAGCCCAGAACTCAGGCATCTCCGGCCCATTTCTGCCCCGAGGACCCTGATGTATGACATCCAGGTCCACAGCCAGGCCATAGTGGGGACGTCTGTGCCTGGGACCTGGGGGATGGGCAGCCCAACGCCAGCCCCAAATCCTGGTTCTGGGGTTCTAGGCCCACAGCCACGACTCCTCTGGAGACACCACACCCCCGAAGTGAAAGGCTTCAGCCTGCTCGGTGCTCAAATCATAACACGCCAAGCAGTGCCCCCTCTGCGCCCAGGGAACAGCCTGCCTCCCTGCTCCCGGGTCCCCGAGCCTGGGCCTGGGGTGCCCACTCAGCCTCCCTCCCTGCTGAGCCCCGGGCCTTCTCACTCACCAGCCTGTTTACACACCAGGTATCTCATGCTTTATCTCCTCTCATTCTGAATTTGTAACTTTCACATAAACTTGAACAAAGCTCCTTTTGTTTCTGCACCCCACCCCGCGATCCCAATAAACTGGTTCCTTCCGAGGCGACTGGGCCAGGGCACAGAAGCCTTGGCCAAAGGACTGTGCATGCATGTGAACAAGCATGTTCGCACCTGCGAGGGAGTCGGTGTGTTTGCGTGTGAGCGCACTCCCCGGGCTGGCGGAGGGGGGTGTCAGCGTGGGGGGGGCCAGCGAAGTGTGAACAGGGAGCCTGCTGGGCCCACCGGCAGGGCCGGGCGGGTGGCGAGGGGGTGGGCATGGGTAACCGGGGATGAAGAAGAGACAAAGGACAGAGAGGAACAGCAAAGTGGGTGGCGGGGCGAGGCACCGAGGCCAGGCCCAAGTTAAGTGTAAGGCAGATCCGGGGATTGCATTATGGCGGGGTAGGGGCTGGCACAGCCGTGCGCCCGGCCCCATAATCCTGTTAGCCAGCAATCTCCATTCCGAAAGAGCTTCATTTCTTTGTGAATATTTGTAAACTAGATATCTAATGGAAAATTATAGGAAAATTATAGTGAAATTCATGACGGAGAAATCCGATTATCCCTAATTCAATTATGCCATCTTAGCCCACACAGCACATTTCCCATTTTTTTCCCATAAATACCGATGCCAGGGGTCCCGGTAATCAAATAAAATTGAAAATCATCTTCCCATTAAATTCAATTAGCCGCAATTTCTAAAGCCTATCAGAGATTTTAATTACTAAATTATAAAATTCTCCAATGCTAAATTGAAACCAAAAAAATTGCACATCCTTATATTTCAGAGAAAAAAAAGGGGCCAGCAAAATCCTTGAAAAATGCCCTGTCCTCTGTGCCCAGCGCCAGAGCAGGTGCCCACCTGGAGGCCCTGCCAGAGCAGCCTGCTGGCGGGCGGGTGGAGCGGCCGGGGGAGGGGCGAGCTGAGGGGCAGGCGGCCTCCACCCCAGCAGCTCGCTGGGCACCCCCGGGAGCGAGAACTTGCTGCTGTCCTGGCTCTGGAGACGCCTGGGACTGCCCCCACCCCGGGGCCTGCAACTGCCACCTTCTCGGCCCAGCGGCAGTGGCCTGAGGGCTCGGGCCACAGCGTGGTGGCCTCCAGGCTCGGGGTGGTTCCAGGGCAGCCAGCTGCTCACCCGAGCACCAGCACTAAGCACTCCGCTGGGCCCGACCGCCTGTGCTGGGCAGACACTGCGCGTGTGTGCAGGAGTCATGGACGGCGGTGGCCCCAGTCTCCTCCAGCGGCGCTGGGCCTGGCCACGGGCCAGCTTCGGATGGACCTGGCCCAGACTGGCCTCTCCCTGCACTTCTAGCTCCTTCTCCTAAGCCTCTTCCAACCAGCAACAGCCCAGAACTGGCAGGAAGACCCTGGCCCCAGGAGCGTCTCTTTCGCCCCATCATGCCCCGTCCAGGGGCGGCCAGCCGCCCCCCACGCCTGTCCTCTCCCGGCCTCCCGGCACTTACCCAGCCCCACAGGCTGCTCCAGGTGTCTGAAGAGCCCGGAGGTGGCATCGGCGGGGCATAAAGTGACCCTAGGAAACCCGAGGTGGGTGGCGGGTGGGCAGCGGCTGGGCCCGGCGGTTTCGGGGCAGGCCGCGGC